TGGAAATATCTAGCTATATTTTCCTACCTAATTTTCTTTGCACTTCTTGTCTGGAGGCCCCCACAAGCTCGACTCATTCCTAGATGCCACTTGGAGTAGTAAAATGATCCAAAATGGCTTATTATGTACACTTGCAGTCTTGGGCAAAATGCTGTGGTGGGTATAGGAATGGCTTCCCTCGTCTGTTTACAGCCTTCGTTCTCCTTATAATTCGTAGTTTCAAACAACTACATGCAGCATAATATTTAAAAATTATTTTAAAATATTTAAATATTTTTATTTATGTTTTATTAAATTTTTATATATTTTTAAGTTAAATAAATTTTTATAATTAATAATTAATAAATTATTATTATTTAAAATACTTATTGTCATTATTTATCATGTATTGACGTCTTATAAAAAATAATGACGTAATATATTAATATGATATCATAATATAATTATATAATTTTTTTTTCTATATTAATATTAGACTTGTCAAAATAAGCTTGGCTCATTAGATTGGTTCATATTTTATTGAATATAGGGTGGGCTGAGTTTGAAAATTTAAATCAATATTATAATCGGACTTAAATGGATTAGCCCATCAGATCAGAGAGTTGGGTTGAGCCAATCTTGTGGGCTAAAAAAATAATTTTAATTAATTTAATAATTTTATATATTTAATTATATAAAATTAATAATTTAATTATTAATGATATTATTTATTTTATATATTTTAATAACTTTAATCTTTACTTGTCAAATTAATAATTTTAATTTAGATTAAAACTTATTATTTATTTTTTATGACAATGAATATTGAATGATAAATTACTAATAATTCAGACCTGGAGACATCATTGCAGTCAAAATAAGATTTTAATATTTTGCTTAAGGATGAGGATTGAGAAGTATATAAATGAGTTTTAAAATTTCTATTATTTGGTTATATACTATGATATGAGATGGTAGTTTGTGTTGTTTATGAAATTTATTAATTTATTTATATTTCATGTAATTTATTTGTTTATAATATATTTTTATTATTTAATTTATAGATTAAATCATAGAATAATTTTATTGATAAAAAATTTATTAAGTAGAATTATAACAATAATTTTTTTTATAAAAAAATAAGTTGACCAAACTCGACTCATGAGCTACTAAGGGGTAGGTTGGGCTAAGATTTTGATGATCCATATAAAAAATAAGTTGACCGACCTAACTCATATTTTTTCAATCCACAAAGCTTGGGCTGAGTTTGGTCGAACTAGTCCATATTAGCACATCTAGTTAATATCACGTAAGAATAAAAATAACAAATGCTTTGAATTAATTAATGATAATTAATCAATAGTTAATTATAAAAATTTATTTTATTTAAAATATTAAATATAATAAAATAATAAAGATTTATTTAAATTTTTTTAAATTATAATTGAAGAATTTTTTAAAAATATTATGTCAAAATGTATTTAAGTATAATTAAATCATATATGTGACCAAATGGTTTATGTTGATACCACTTATTTTATTCACTGGATGCACACAGTAAATAAAATGAGATGTCAGGATTAATAAACCTTAAGATGATGAATTTATTTTAGTTTTCTTTTTTTTTTATTATTATTGAAAAAGATGGTGTAAGATGAGATGTCTTGATTGAATTTGTTATTTTAACTACCCATTAAATAAAATTTAATTTTCCATACACTGAGAGTATAACGCTAAACATTTTTTACTACCGCTACCAATTTGTTACTATTACGATTAACAGTGAGAAAACTCTTGTTTTTTGTGGTATGTGACTTTTCTATTCTTACCCATTCCTTAGTAAGAGAGGTAAATCAATTTATATTTGCCAACAAAATTGCGTTAGCAGAAGGGAACTGCCACTTGGTTGCCATCACGCTTTCACATTTGGATCTTTCTTTAGGCTCCTTTTAATTAAAAATAATAAAATATAAATAAATAAAAAGATAAATAATTTGTTGGAGGACGACTGAGGTTGAGGTGGAGTGCTTGACTAGTAGATCCGTTCTAGACGGAGTAGTGCTTTTGAATCGTGGATGAAGTTGCGGAGTCCTTCCCGCGACCCATAATGTTGGACCATCGCTTCGTTCGAGGTTGGGCCCCCAAAACCGACTTGAGATAAAACTCTTATCCTAATCTCTTTTATAAATAAAAACTCTACACTCTTTCAAATATTAAACAGCGAAAATTCGAAATATCCTTAGTTTTTTTATCCTTTACTTGCTTGTGTAATTTCCACTCTAATTAGCCAATTTTGGTCTCTTAACTCAACAGAGACTAACTTAATATATTAGCATAGATGAAGAGTCAATTTCATCTTTTATGAATGTGAGATATGTGATGTGTTAGTAAAAAAACAAGATTAACGTTGATTCAAAAATTATTGTAATTTTGATATTTTACATAAAGAGTCTTGTATTAATGAAGAATTGATTAAATTTTTTATATTATTTATTATGAATTTATATTTTTAATCTAAAAATGTGTCTATCAAAAAAAAAAAAAACTTTATTCGTAAGTATAAAATCAAACACATTTTTTATTGATAGTCAATTAATCCATCATTCTTGAACTAACCCTTCTTCTAACTAGCCCTAGCACTTTCCTAGTACTACCAAAATAAGTACTTGGCTGTCGGTAAAGCATAGGATGCTTGAATGTGAGAAAAAGAAAAGAAAAAAAAAATCTTTATGATAAATGCAAAGTTGGAAATCAATTTATCTCCGAATAGGCAGGCCCACAAACCTATCTCACGTGTAGGTACTGTGGACACACGTGTGAGTTAACCCAATTTAAAAAAATCAACGCGTCTGTCTGTCAAATGAAAAAACGCCTTTTTCAAGCCTTAACACCGAAGCAAAGACAAATCTCAAATCAAATGTGAACGCTAAAAAAAAAAGGGCCACCACGAAAGAACCCCCAAGAAGACCTTCTAGAACGCATTTTTTCCCCTCCACAGTCCGTCCTCTCCTCTCCTGCCACGTCAAACCGCGTTTTTTTTTTTGCCGTCATCATTCTTGTTCGCTCAACTCTGAACTCAACAGTTTTGACAAAGGCAAAAAGATTAAGAAGAAATTTTGTCATCCTATTGGAAAAAATTAAAAAACAGAGATAAATTTAAGAAATTTAGTAGTCTGTTTCTCTGTCCTCTGTAACTTTGCTTTCAACTTTGACAAGTTCACACGCAATCTTTAATCTTCCCCCTTGGTCTGCCCAGCTCAGTTTCCACGAAATTTCTCATTCCCCTTAATATAATCTCCCTTATTTAACACTCCCCCCACTCTTCACCTACTTCCTCTCTCTCATCAAAAACATTTTCTTTTGCTTTTCACTTCGTCTGTTTTTGCCTTCCCTGTTCTAAACAATCTTAGATTCCTGTACCACTCTTTACATATATTGATTGAGCTCTCTATATTTTTACGAGCCAGATAGTGAAAATTAACTCATCTTTAATACCCAGATTCCAGTTTCTGTTTTTTTTTTTTTATTCTAAGGTTTGGAAAGGGAATTGAAGTTGAGGATGGAGAACAACCAGCAATCGTTTTGGCAATTCAGTGATCAACTTAGGCTCCAAAATTCGAACTTGGCTAACCTTTCACTCAACGATTCGATATGGAGCAACAGTTATGTTTCAAAGAGGCCTGATGAAAGGAGGAATTTTGATATCAGAGTCGGTGGTGAAGTGAATTCTGTTAACAACTTGAAGCCGAAGGTCTCTGATTTCAATTCCTTCAACAATGATGGATGGAAAATTGGAGCCAGTAGCAACAACATCGGGTTCGGTCCAATTGGTCCGATGGGGTCTCAGAAGAATGTTGGAATCAACGGAGGGTTCAACAAAGGGATTTATTCAAAACCGGGAAATAACAATAATTTCAATCTTAACTTGAAGGGGAACAAGAATAAAGGAGAGGATGATCATGGAAGCAAAATTGGGAAGAAGAACAATAACAAGAAGAACAATAACAATAACAGCGACAATAATAACAACAATATCGGTGATAATAAGGAGGGGAAGAGCGCTGCTGACAAGAGGTTCAAGACACTGCCACCATCTGAGGCTTTGCCTAGGAATGAGACTGTTGGAGGCTACATCTTTGTTTGCAACAACGATACCATGCAGGAGAATCTCAGGAGACAGCTCTTTGGTATGTCTTTGGTGTTCTCTCTCTTCCTTTACATTAATGGTGGTAATTTTTTTTTAAAGAAAAATTCTCTGCTTTATAGTTGAAAGTAGATCAATGAAATTAATCAAACAATTCTCAATTGGGTTAAGTAATTGTTTATGGAAAAATCTAATATGCTATTTATGTTGATTTATATTCCTTAATTGTTCCTATTCGTTAACTGTAGGTTTGCCTCCACGTTACCGAGATTCAGTCCGGGCGATAACTCCAGGGCTGCCTCTTTTCCTCTACAACTACTCCACCCACCAACTCCATGGAGTATTTGAGGTTTGTACTTCTATTTTCTCCTATTTCCCTTGTTAACTGCTTGATAATTTTCTATTTAAATTTTTTTTTGGTCATGCTTGGTACTAAATCCTGGATTGGGTAAGGTCACGCTAAGCATGACTTCATTTTAGGCGTTTAAGGACAATTACGGACTTCTACCATTATTGAATTTTACCATAGCACACGTTAATTTCACAGGACGGTTGCTATGCAACTATCACTTTAGGGTCTAGGGTGGCTCGTAGCTTTATATAGCTCCGTTAGAAGGGGTTGAGGTCTGGTCAGTGGTTAGCCTGTCACTGTTTCTTAACTTTGCTTAACACTGGATTACGCTTCTAATAACGTTTTAATGATCCTCTTTTAGGCTGCAAGTTTTGGATGCACAAACATTGACCCAACAGCCTGGGAGGACAAGAAATGCCCTGGCGAATCACGATTCCCTGCTCAGGTATTTGCAAAAGAGTTGTTTGTTAGTTATATGCAAGCAATAAGAAGTTTTCAGTGTCTTTACAAGCAAAAAATAAAAAGAAAAATGCAAGACTAATGCTTTAGAGCAATTGGTCAATGAATTTGCTTTTTGTTCCTCTGCAGGTTCAGGTTATAACAAGGAAAATCTGTGAGCCACTTGAAGAGGACTCCTTCAGGCCAATTCTCCACCACTATGATGGTCCAAAGTTCCGCCTTGAGCTGAACGTTCCAGAGGTAGAATATAACACGACAAACATGTCATGATGATAACCAAGAAATGTTCCAATCTTAGACTACTCGGCCTTGTATTCTGATCATTCTCCTGTTAATTAAATTTTGCAGGCACTCTCCCTCTTGGATATATTTTCTGAACAAAATGCTTTGAGCAGCTTTGTATAAACGCATACAGATACAAATACACAGGATGATGGAAGAGAAGAGTTGAAGAATAACTAGAGAAATAGATATATAGTATATTGGGAATTGGGATTTTAAGACTATGGATAGGGAGGTTGATTTGCATGCATGGATATACAGTCTGTGAGATGTATAACTTTTTGTTCACAGGCTGCTGCGAACCTGTTGTTGCCCTTTTGTTTCTGTTATTCGGTTTGCCATATGCATAAATAATACCTAAAACTAATGATAAACATAAACTTTATTTGTGGTGACATATATAATTTGAGTTCTGTTTGCAGTCTGGTGCCATGAATTATATTTTCTTTACCCCATTTGCCTGTTTGGGCAGCGAGTAGTATCGTTCCTAAGTTCTCATCTGGCATAAGAAGTCGGGAATGAATGATATGATTTGAATGACTTTAAGCTTGAATGCGCGAGCGTCTGGCGGATAATAGCCGTATACACAAGAAGATTAATCCCGGAGTCATGAGACTGGTTTGTCTAAAATAACAAGCTAATAAATGCCACTGGCAGGTACAGGATTACTAAGCTTGATGTCAAAACCTCCATGGAATAAAAGTACATGAAGATTGAATTTTGTGTACAGCTTGTTCACATGATTTGGTCTGAGCATGCTCCACTTACTGTTGGCCCACGAAAGTGAGTAGCTTTCTGTACAGCTTTTTGTGCAGTCAAAGACGCTAAGCAGGTGAGTGGAGGAGGAATGGGGATTGTTTAGAATTTACGGACACCAATAAAAAAACTTGTCTCACCGCCCAATAGGATAAAATACTTATAATCTAAGGGGGTGGTTAGGCCATCAGTAGAATAGAAGGCAGAACTCGGAAAAATACCAAAGGCCTGGAAGCTGGCCTATCTTTCTCAACAAAAATTTTACCTACTGCAACTAGCAGATGACCCCGTCAATTGAGGGCGGTAACACTTCTATGCCAAATTGATCGTTGGAGAGAACAGTGATGTTGACAATCCTAAAGTCGGCCTTTCTGAACAGACTTTCTGTTGTTCAATGTTTTGATTATTTCATGTGGAGTGGGTCAGAAGCGAAGCTCTATGGACGTCGTTGGATGCTCTAGCAATTGAGGTTCTGTTAAAACTAGGTAGTTCTTTTTCTTTTTTTTTTTGTTATAAGTGTTTTTTTTTTTAATTTGGGGAATCAGGTAAAAGAGATAGAGAGAATAAAAATAAAAAATTACTTATTTTTTCTAATTAAATAATAAAATTATACATATTTATTTTTTTAAAGGTTCACATATTTTTAATACACTTTCTAAAGATGTGACATCAGATTAAATATAAATTCTTTTTTTATAAAATTTGGAAACTTCTGTTTCACTTTTATTAAAAACAACTGTTATTTTAAAATATATTAGGATGACATACATATATATGTTTTATCAAATTATAATTTTGCAATTTTAAACTTCACTTTCTCATGTTATTGATATATCTCTTAATTTATCATACTCGAACAAGAGAGCAGAGGCACTTTTTTTTTGTTAAAAATCTATTTTTCATATCTTAATTTTATGTTTCATTATTTATTATGATATTTTCTTACTATACTACTAAATACTTTAAAAAATTTATATTATATATTAAAATATTTGATTCATTGATTAGTATATAATTCAAAGAATGTTACAATTTTTTTCATTAAAAAAATTTCATGTTATAGTCCTGTCTGGTAGATAAAAGGTCCTACATCTGCCCATTTAAGGGTCCATGGCCCAGTGGTGGAGCATTTGACTGCAGATTAAGAGGTCACCGGTTCGAACCCGGTTGGGCCCTTCATGTAATTTTTTTTTTTATCATTTCTATTCATTTCTACCCTTAAGCTCTTTCATACAGTTAGGCCAAACTCACAACTATCAATCCTTAAGACATATACTGCACCTTCCATTAAAAAAAAGAAAAATTATGACCACACATCGTAACCTCAAAACTATTCATCACTATATATTACATACAAAAGCTAAACAATTGAAATTCCTTCCTGTCCTTTTCCCACTTGTCTTTCAATTCTTAAGGGCTTCTCACATAATCCACAAACTATTAACACAAAGTTATTAAAAACGACAACTAACTTTCATTCATTTGCCACAAATGGGAACCGCTAAAGACAAGCTGGACAGTGAACCAACCCGTTTTCATTACACTTGCCGCACCTCTCTCTCTTATCGTCACTCACCACCACTTTACAGCTTCCTCCACACTCCATACACGGCACGAACCTCGCTCCCCCGCACCCTCCACAAGCTTGCCTCCCCACCCCTTTCTCCACACGTGCCTTGCTCAGTATCTTCCCCAGTTTCGCCGACTCGTTCAACTCGCTCACTTCCTCCACTCCCCCCACGTATCTTCCCTTGACGAACACCCTCGGCACGCTCGCCTCTTTCCCTAGTAGGCTCCTTAACTCGTTCAGGAACTCCCCATGCAGCGACACGTCTCTCTCGTCGAACACCACGCGCTGGATTTCGAATATCTCTCGGACCTTCGTGCAATCCTCGAACGTGCGTCGAACCCCTCTCAACGACGTTGTGTAGATGACCACCGAGTCGGCACCGCCTGGTGGGCACATCTCTGGGAACTCGCTCAATGGGTCCCGTTTGCTCATTAATTTATCGTAATTCGCCATCCTTCCCTCTTTTTCCCTCTCTTGTCTGTCCCTTAATATGAATATGTTCTCTTTTACTGACTTGAACCCTGTTGAGTCTGGAACTTGCGGCTTCGGGTTGTTTACCTCGGTGGTTTTGGTTCCCGTCGCCTTTCTCATTGACTCGGTTTTTCTTAACTTGTTTGCAGCATGTTTTGAAGGCTCCAGGTTGTTTAACTCAGTGGTTTTGGCTTTGGTTCCCGTCTCCTTTCTCATGGACTCGGTTTTTCTTAACTCGTTTGCAGCAGGTTTTGGAGACAGCTTAGCGTCCAACTCTTCTAGGGTATGGAAAGTTAAGCTCTTACGTGGCTGTTGCTTGTTAACTTGTTTTGCTGGTTTTGGAAGCGACGTGGGAGCTGGGAGTTTCTTGTTATTGTTGTTAAGGGTAGGCTTGAGATCTTCCAGGGCTTTGCTAACCTCGTCCCAGGAGTGAGGAGCATCAGTTTCGAAAGTGTGGAGCTTCTCAAGAATCACAGCCGGCACGTGCGTTGGCTTCTTCTCCTGATTGTCTTGCTGGGCTTGCTCCACCTTAACCCATGGTTCATCTATGGCGTTGATATCGAAGACAGCAAAGCTTGTTGGTGGCGGACTGTAGATGTCCACGGTGGCTTTGCTGCGTTTGGAGGCGGAGCAGCCCATCTTTGAGAGAATTTTGGAAATTGGGTTGGTTTGCGTTTCTGGGTGATATTTTGTTGAGAGAGGGGATTTGCAGGTATTTTTATGGAGGGAAAGCGGCACCTGGAAGGAGGGAATTTGTGTGGTATCGATGACGGCTTTTATCTTTGGACGTTATTTCTTATTTTGAAATTGATGGGATTGTTGCTCTAAGCCTTGTGATGACCGAGTGGTGTCACATGAAGCCATGTGGACCTATGAAGGACAGACACGTCAGCTCAATGATATCTTTGAAAATGGCTTTGCCAATGGCATGGGGATGGCGGATTTCTGTCTAGGAGGCATTATCAAGCATAAAAATTTTACACCGCTCTCCACGTCAGCATAAGATAATCCCGTAACATGGGCCCAAAGTTTTGAGCCGACTAAGCCCATTGAGTCGATTTAAAGAAGAGGGGTTGGGGTGTCACTTCTCGAGGGATGTTGGGGTCATTCAAAGTGCATTTGCCTTGTACTACTAGCTTGGAAGACATCGAAGCTTATTAATTTTTAATATAAATAATTTGAAAACTATAACTCAAAAAGCATTGAATTATTGAAACATAAACAAAATCTCATTAATTTTCTAATCTAATGTATTTCGAACAGATAAAATGAATCAATAATTTTAAATTATAAATAAAAGACAATCACTACAAGTGTAAAAAACTCTTTTACAAGATAGAAACTATTTAAAATTTTCAACTCAGAAAGATAGGGAAAACATATTTACACTTATATATATACATTTTTAAATAGTTTTAGATTTATAATAATTTAAAGAGTTTTGATCTTTTAATATTTGTTGAAAATGGTAATTTACCTAACTTTAGGCATTTTTCTTCATAAAGATTTGATAGTTTTGAATTTATAGTAATTAAAATTATATTTTTAATATGGTAACTCACAAAATTTTAAATCAAGATAAAGCATTTAACGTTTGAAAGATTTGGATAAGCTCCCTTTATATATATATATATATATTTGTAAAAGCCTAACATATTTTGACATATGTACATTCACGAGATGATTCGTTTTTTGATATTTCAGAATATAATTAGACATATTTTCTCTTTTGGGTACATTGAATTTGACTTGATAGAAGGCATGGAGCTAACTTCTTGCACACGGGCTTTGTTTACAGCAATTGTCTATGCAATAACTGTATGCTGATAAATACTCTCTTTTGCTTTGCTGAAATGCATGAACCAACCGATACGCAACATGAAGAAAACACTTAAAATATTGTGGTAATTTTTGTCCCTTGTTACCTGAGGCAATACAATTGCAAGGAAGACACCAAAAACACTTGCCCCTAAAGTGAACTTTAGGTGCCTCCAACATTAGAGAGGAATCCTGCAAACTGTGAAATGCAAACCCCCTAGACCTTTAATTCGAACTCATCTGCTTCTGAAATGTCGTTTACCTACTATTTGTTTAACCTATTCTTCCATTTTCTGCCCTTTCCAAGTTGTACAAAACTCAAATTCCCTTAAATAATCCTGCCAACGGTCTAGTATCACATGGCGCCGATCAAATTTTTGAAAACAACAGCACTTAAATTGTCTCTTCTGACACCTTCTCTCGCCTCCCCATTTTGTTTCCACTAGTTTTTGCCAAGATTCCAGGTTTTAAATACAAGTTGCTACCTGTAACTGTTGGGTGAATGTGAAGTGCTTAAGGAAATTCTGTCAATGGGGAATTGTTCTCTCAAAGGGGTCACTGGGGGGTGCAGCAATTCCATCCGGGTCTTAACAGATGCCGGTGAAATCATTGACATCAAGGGCCCTAAACTAGCCCGGGAGATTGCCAACAGTTTTCCAGGGTATGCTGTTTGCAGAAGAGGTCAAGCCTCATTACCATTGCCCGAAGACGAGTGCCTGGTTAACGGGGGATTTTACTATCTTCTCCCCATGGAGAAGGTGCAGAAGCCTGGTGACACTGGGGTCAGTAAACAGGTTAACAAAGAAGCTGTGAAGAAACTGGAAGTGGATTGGATGAATCGGATTGAGCCACCGAAGATGTCATCAGCAGATTTTGTTGAGAATTTGTCTAGTGGGTCGGCTCTGGAAGTGCTTCCATCGCAGAAGAATGGGGTTTGGAAGGTGAAATTGGTGATCAGCAGTCAGCAACTGGAGGATATTTTGTCGGAACAAGTGAACACGGAGGCCTTGATTGAGAAAATGAGAATGGCTGCAGCAAGCTCAGCTACTCTCACCCCAAAGCGGAGCAAGAGTTCTTGGGTGATGGGATGGAAGCCATCCTTGTCAAACGTGCTCAAGGTTCCCATTGATAACAAAGTGGCATAGCCAGATTTCTGCTTTTGTAATCGACTAGGTCATGCTAGTCTGCTAGAAAAAAACATTTAATGTAGCTTTTTTTTTTCTTTTATCTTATGTAAGAATGCTTAAGCATCGTGTACATATAATGTTATAATTGGTTAAAATTCTAAAGCCCAGTGTGAAGTGTGCCAAAGCCCTTTAATCAGTCGAAATTAGTTTGTTCTGAACTCAAAATATTCAAAGAGTTAAAACCTTGGGTTATTGATTTGATTTTGCATAACATAGTTCAATTTTTACTCAATAACACAAATGATAAACAAATATGAAAGAATTAAGCTAAATGTAGATCAATTTATAGTGTTTCTTTCTTTTTTTAGTACTAATATATTTATTTGACATAATACTTAAAAAAATCCTTTTAATTATTTAAAAAAATTTAAATAAATCATTATTCTTCTATTATCTGTATTTTTATTTTAAATTAAATAAATTTTTTATGATTTTGACTAATTGTCATTAATTAAATGTTACTTATTATTTCATATCTATGTGATATTGATGTGGTACTATTGTGAAGATTGAAAAATACTATATAACTATTTTATCACTAATTATAACATGTTAATATATTACATAATATAAAAAGACATGTGATATTTTGACAAATAACAAAATTTAGTTAAAAGATTATTATGATATATCCACTTTTAGATAAAAACTTATTTAATTTAAAATAAAAATATAAAAAATTAATTAAACATAATAAAAAAGATTTATTTATTTTTTAAATAATTTAATTTTTTATTTTAATTATTATGTCTACTTATTTCTTTTATAACTTAGGAAAAAAAAAAAAGAGTCGGGGCATAGTGTACGCATTACATGCATACTTTTAGCCCAAGCATACTTTTCTCTTTCTTAGAAAAAAAAAAAACGATATTTCCCTTATCCTTCTCACGGACGTGTTAATAATGTTAATGATACATTAATCTAATTGGTAGTTAGATAAATTATGAAATTATGATTGTTGATCTTGATTAGTTATTAATTAATTAGCTAAAGGGGCTTCTATTCATTCACCTGCCGCAGACGATTAACCCTATCTATACTAGGAGTCTCTAGCTTAGATAAGGCGATTCCTTCATCAATTCGGAATCAGAAAAGCTAACTCACATACTAATTAAGTAATTATGTTCCCAAGTTCCCTAAGGCACTTTCTTAACAAAGCCTTGGCCAGGGGGGAACACAAAAGGGAAATCTTTCTTGGGAAGTACTAGCAATTACTTTACTATTTATAATTAGGTTTCTTTTACTTCGATTATTCTTCTCTTCAATTGAGCTTTTGATAGACAACCCACATTGCTTCGATGATTTCAACAATCAAATTCTGAAGATACCATGGCTGATAGGTATGGACTTGGTCATCTTTTGATCTCTCTCCCTTTACATGTTAATATTTATGTTTAAATAGTTAAATTCTTGGGAAAAAAGTTCATGGGTCTCGGACATTCCTTCATCTAAGGATTGATTTCAGGGGTTATACACAATGTGGTTTGACAAAGTTTGGAACAAAGCTGAACGTGTCAAGAGAATAAAACTTGACAAGCTTAGCTAGCTTATAGTTTAAGCTTTGAAGCCTGTTTAGTTTGTAAAATAATCCAAAGGGACAAAAAAGGGTAGGCCCATCAGTCAAACAAGAAATTTTGCCCCACCGGGATTTTCTGTGTTCAATATTGATTGGGGGAAAAGGAGCTGAATTATGTACTCACAGTTTTCCTGGCTTCATCCTTTTTGGGTTTTAGGGTTGGTGTTCAAAAGAGAAACCTGATGATGCTGTCTGGATCGTTTTATATAGCCAAAGATAGAGATTCAAGGCCGCAGGGTGATGACAGCCATTTCATCTGTGAAGAGAAGCAGACAATTGGACTGGCAGATGGCGTGGGTGGTTGGAGCAGCCATGGTGTTGATGCTGGATTATATGCCAGGGAGCTCATGAATAATTCTCTTCTTGCTATCCTGACACAGCCCGACAGGCAGATTGATCTGATGGAGGTTTTGAATGAGGCTTTCGGAAAGACCAAAGCTGAAGGATCATCAACAGTTTGCATCATAACCCTCCAGGAGGACAATGTGTGTTCTATTTATTACTATTTGCAGATATCACGTTAATTGGTTATTTAGCTCTCTTCTAAGCTTTCAAACTAATGAATCTCTTTTCATCTTTCTTTTTCCCTTGTAATAGATGTTGCATGCTGTTAATATGGGAGACAGCGGGTTTATGCTGATCAGACAGGGTGCAGCCGTATACAAATCACCAATTCAGCAACACTCTTTCAATTATCCATATCAGCTGGGAAATTCTGCAAATTCCGATAAACCGTGGCAGGCACAGGTAATGTAAATTGTTGGTCACTCTGAAGTATGCAATTTGTCTATATCATCAGATTATATCAAGTTCACAATCTGGGTGTAATTATTCCTCCCAAGCAGGTAATCAAGCTTGCAGTAGAACCAGGAGATGTTATTATAGCTGGAACTGATGGACTATTCGACAACTTGTCTGAAAGTTTGATATTAGAGGCTGCAGCTACGGGGATTGAACAAGGTTTAGATCCAGAGGAGGTTGCCTGGCCCGTGGCTCAACAGGCCTACTACATTTCCTTGGATAGAGAAGCTGTCACTCCATATATGCAAGCTTCTATGATGGCTGGACAGAGGCATATCGGTGGAAAGAAAGATGATATCACCGTCATTGTCTCGCGCATTCTTGATACATAGGATTGTTTCTTAGTAGTCCTCTAATTAACTTGGTGAATGCCAACAACCTGCTCGGAAGTGTAAGATGACTGCATAAAAACTCAGAAATAAACTACTCAAGCGCAGGTTCAGTCAAGGCCAAAAATTTGGAGGGTCCTTGTTTAACATTGGATTCATTTTTTTTTATTTAACTATAGTAATAATAATAATAATAAAACACGGCACTCATCCTCGCTTATATAAGATTGTACATGTAATACGTTCTCTCATCTTGGCAAACAACGAGCAGCTTCGGCAGTCAGCCTGGTGGTTCCCTCTGCTCCCAGGGAAGTCAATACATAACTTAAACCCGATGTGCATTCAGATCAGGGAAGTGTTGGAGTTTTTAGAATTCTTGGCAAAGTAGATGATCAACAAGTGTCCTCGTAAAGTATAAATAATTTATTAAATGGAAATACCCATTTCTTGATTCAGCTTGTAAAATTTAAAAACTCTTACACTAATGTATAGAATAATAATCTCTTAGATTAAAAGGTATAGCAAAGTTATATGAATAAGTACACGCTTTGTTGCCAAAGTATTCACATACATTTCGATTCAGGGATGTGGATCATTTCCAACGGGGCTATCTGCCCTGCATTCGAAATGAGATTCAAAAACATCACAGAATCCAAACAGTAGTATAGTCTTCTATAAATGGCAGTGCTGGCATAGCCGCCAAAGATACTGAGGTTAACTTCATGTTCAAACTTACACATTTCAAGAACTTCAAAGTCAGTCACCAGATGACACTCTCACATGGTATGAGACTCCATCTTCCTAACAGCTTTCTCAATGTTTGGTATATTCTTCTTCAAGGCTGACCACTGTTCCTCTGTCAAACTTATTCCTGTTTACACAGCGTCAGAATTTAAAACAAGTATTAAAATGAAATTCTTTCACCTCAACAGCACAAGTAAATTTTAGAACTGTGAAGCAAGTTCAATCGTGAAGAATACATTGAGACATTTTAACTAGAACATCCAACAATCATGCACAGTGCAGAGAGACTTTGTTTCGAGAACATTAAGATACAATATTTGCCTTTGATATCTGCATCAGCTGGCATAAGGCTTACGAACCAAACAATTACATTTCTATTTTTTATAAACTATTGACACCCTAGATGGATACAGCTAGTGTATAACTCATCTTCCTCTCTCAGCAAAATCCACCCAAGCAACAACAGACTAGAAAACTGACAATTAGATCCACACATCCAAAAATGCAGCTCACAGAGGTAACATAGCCTAGGAAACTGAAAAAACGACATAAGGCAGAGTATTCACATAAATTTAGTAAAAATGGCCAAAGAATAAGAAGACAATAATAATAATACTATTTCAAAAAATACACATTAAGTCCATGCTTCTCTTTCTGCCTTATGCCCCACCCTTTGCACAGACATTTCAAAGGGCACAAATGAAGGCCTTTCTTTGGTTTATTCATACCCTGAGCAAAAGAAACCAAGACACCAACTCTGTAACATGATAGAAGCAAGACAGCAGGTGAATTTGATACAATTTTCCTGTATAATTCCTCAGCAGTTATAACAGTGCACAAGCAAAACGCTTTCAAAGAGATACAGAAATTATTTTCTCCTGCACTTTGAAATCGAATTCACTGCACATGAATGGAAGCATCCACAAGCTGGATTATGCAATCTAAGTCACTACAATACACGTTAGCTACAAATCAGTAATCACACTTTCCTGAATGGCACAGAGCGAACAAAAAAGGTGAAAACAGGGCATAGATCAAGAATCATGATACATGACAACATTTGCAACAGTATGCGAAAGTTAGTAAAAACTCACAGCAATATCACAAGGTTGGCACATATCAGTTTCCATTATAAAGACTCTGGATTCTCGATGGTTAGTATAGGTTTGATTACGGAAAGCACCAAAATATCAGCACATTGCAATAATATGAAGAACTAAGGGAAACAATATAAGTAATTATATGCTTGGTAAACATGCTGGAAAGTTGACCTATTGGGCAGATTGTGCAACGAAATTTCAAATTAGTTATCAATATAAAGTTCTTAAGCATCATAGATTTGTTGGTCTGGTAGACCAAAATAGCGGCAATCGAGAAAATTAGTGCCAGTTTAAGTTGTTTCTTATGCCACTTGCAAGTTCAACACATTATAATAAACAGTAGCTTAGCTTCAGCGGCATAACTTGCTCAGAAAAATAAGTTCAAAAGCAAGATATATAATTAAACTGAAACTACTGAAATTAAAGCTAAGCAAAGCATTTACCTTTAGCTGAAGGAAGTTCTTTGCCATCCTTTTTATAAAACTCCCTTATGGAAACCAAAGATTTCCCTCTGAAATCTTGAATCATCACCCTTCTCCTCTCAGACAGCTGAAATAAAAAAAAAAAACCCAATAAAAAGAAAATCTCAAAAATCAAAATTTTCCTTAAAACCCATTAAGAGAGAAAGAGAAAGAAACAAACAAACCCTGCAAACAATGACATCACCATCATCATCAAACTCCTTGTTGTTCTTATTAGTATTATCATCATTCGCTGCAGCTTCTGCTTCTTCTTGTTTGGCCTTTTGTTCTTCGAGGAAAGAATTGACGACATGTCTGACGTAAGCCTTGTACTTGGACTCGGAGAGGTTAAGTTCCAGTATCTGTGAAGCCATTTGTCGAATCTTGTACTCTGTCATTTCGTCCATGTTAGCTTCTTCCAGGATTCCTCTCACCGTTTGCTTTATCTTCCCTCTTGTTTCTGCGTCCATTTATTTCTTTTTTTTTCCAATTGATTGTGGGTTTTTGGGGAGAGAGATGAACGATCGAAGACGTTGGGTTTTATGATTTTATCTGATTTGGGAAAACAAATAAGAAGCTGGAGGGTTTGTCGCTTGTTTCTTCTTTCCCTTTTTTAATTCCGAGAAAAATAAAAGAAGAGGTTCCACCGAGATTTGAACTCGGGTTACTGGATTCAGAGTCCAATGTCCTGACCACTAGACCATGGAACCCTGGGCGTTGCTCAAGCCCAAGTTTATTTATGTCCTTTTTTGGTTCTTCTTTCTTCTGTTTTCCTGACCACCCGGCTGGAATTTGTGTATTTATTGATGTTGGGGATTGTTTCATTGATGATCAAGGGCAAACTGTTAGCTTAGGAAAACCTTTGTAGATTTGTAGTTAAAGATTCCCATATCATTATGCTTTGAAAAGAATAAATAGCGATGCTACCAGTTGAGGCCAGTTTATGCTTTGACAAAATTATATAATTGGTCTGTTGGTCAATTTCAGGAGTTTGCTCGCTCTCCATTCGCAGATCAACTGGGAAGGTAGAGAGTGGACAGGCAGCAAAGATATGTAGGCAATTACAAGTAACAGCTTTTCCATGTTCCCTAATATCAAAGCCAAAAAAATGGAAAAATGGCATGTGTATGGTCGTTAAACAAACCCATGACTAATGGCTGCACCAGGTCTGGCTTTTTCTGAATCGAGCTATGCTGCAATTGCTGGTACATCTCATTCTATGCATTGGTTATCTCTTGAACTTCCTTGGACCTTGCTTTTTCTTGCTGCAAGGATTCAATTTACATCATATAACCGGAATAGCCTTCAAAGAGCAAAAAAGAAAATACAAGAAAGCAGCAATGACAAAAAACATTGGATTGGATTCATTTTTTTTCATTTAACCTTATCTAAATATATTGTGAGTACAGATTAATCGAATGAGTTCGAAAATACTACTAGATATATGTACCAGAAATATCGGCTGGTAATTAAAGATGTTGATTTCTTTGAGGGGGAATATCAGAATTCAGAAGCATCAACATACTCAAATCAACTGGTTTTCTTTGGAGGTTTGGTAGGTTAAGATGGTTGGACAATGCATACAATTGCATATGAAGCATATGCAGAAAATTGGAAGGATGCCCTTTCCTTTCAGATATAAATTTCATTCAATGGGCTGGTTCTATGGCTGGAGGATGCCATCTCACAGTCCAAAAATACAGAGTGGAGTCTTGGAATGCTTCCTATAATATCCTTGAAGGATTCAATGTAGACAATCTTATCAAATACTACAAACTAGGAAATGTACTTACCTTGACTCAGCCTCATCATTAGTCCCTACAGGACTAGCTCTCCCAATTCTTCCAGAGGCAACCTCATCCATGCTTTGACCACGTCGCCTATACCTACCACCAGATGCCACAAATCCAGGACAAGGCCGGTAAGCCTTTATAGGCCACCAACCAAACCCTGGGACTGTTGCAATCCCTCCTTGAATCCTTCCCTCACCATTGCATCCTCTCTCCATTTCCTCTCTCCCACAGGCCTTGCAACCCCTGTGAACTTGTCAACCATCCTATTAGATAAAATGCCAAGAGGAAATACAAACAGATAAAAATTATTTCTATAGACGCTAGAGCACAGCATTTGATTCATATCAGATGGATACAAACACACCTAATCACAATGTGCAAAACAAAAACAAAATGAACAGGTTTTTTCTAAGCCCCTGTAAACTTCATAAACTATGTAATGCCTTAAAATGGTTGCGGAGTGTCCATCGAAATGGATGGTCTAGAGTTCAAATACTGTAGACAAGGGGTTTTCATTTTTCCATCACGTGAATGAGAATAAAATATAAGCTCAAATTAGCACCGTGAAACAAAATCTTAAAGCAACAGCGCTGCGATGGCTTTCAATCCTTAATCTGAAAGCCAGCTACAAGGCCATAATGACCCTTCAATAGTTTCAGAGACCCTTTTGGAGCAATATTTAATATTAAATTGTGCTGTACTGACAACAAAGATGGTTCTATTTTCACTGCTTAAGCCATCAATTAATAGCAAATTAGTTGACTGATACAAGATACTTAGAAGAAAAGCGCCTTCCAACACAATTAGCCCAATGAAAGTTGAGCAGTAAGCATCAAAATTTTATTAGTTAAAACTTTCATTTTACCTTATAATAGACTCAATAATTAAGGTAACTGGCAATGATCTCCAAGTTAAAAGAACATGGCATGGTACCTGAAAGGAGGCTGGTCAACTGCAACGGTGACAGGTTCTGATTGGACAGGAATAATATCAGGAGAAGCAGAAGGTTCATCTTCAGCAGTAGAAGTTGAAGAAGAAGAAGTAGTGGACAGAGGGATGGTAGGCTTAGATGGATACTTGAAGAAAGTTAAGGAGCTAAAAGAGGGACAGTAAGGGCGTTGGAAGAATGAGGTTTGATGAGATAATGGTGGTGCTGAGAGAAGGGCCATTGCCATTCCCTCTAGTTGAATTGCTGTGCGTTCACAAGGAAATGGATAAGAGACCAGAGAAAGCAGCACTGAAAGCAAAATTTAAGGCCCAGAACGAGACAAGGCGCAGGGGAATGACTAAAATAAAAATATAAAAAAGAGAAAGGTTCCACCGAGATTTGAACTCGGGTTACTGGATTCAGAGTCCAATGTCCTGACCACTAGACCATGGAACCTATAGTGATAGCTTTGGAAACTTTACCAAATCTTAGTTAAGAAGATAGGTTTATGAGTTTATTCAGCACCCAGCGCTACCAGTGATAATTAAATTTAAGTCACTGACTCCAATACCATATCCCATTAGTTTTACCCCTCAAGCCACTTTTGGATCCAGCACGTCATGCAACTTCTGTGAATCCACTTCAATTCACACATGTATACATCCGTGTGAAGAATTGTTGATATATATACATCCAAAATTATGATAATTAGGAAGCAAAGAAATAATACAAAAGACTGAATCGTAAAAGGGCACCTATTTACCACAAAATACCCAAAAATGAGGTGGCAAAGCCGGAAAAGAAGTATCTTTGAAAGAAATTCCAGAGAAATTTCAAGCAACTTGCTTTTGCTAACAAACACTAGTACTATGTTTCGAAGCTAGTACTAAAAATTATCAATTTGTATTTAACTCTTCATCTTCTGTTATCCATGAACAATCTGTTGTTCCACGTCCCCATCCGCGAGCATCACTGAGCTGTGATGATGCACTAGGTACCACCGTCCATTATGGAACTCAAAGACGTTAGTCATGTTAAATGCCCCATTATCCATGTCCACATAGGTTTTCATGGTAACCCAGGCCATGTCTGTCAGTACCCGGGCTCGAACATCTATAACCTGAAAATCAACCCCCTGCTCCCAATTAAAAGCAAGCTGCCAACTTTGTATTACAGCATTATACCTGCAGGGGAAAAGAACAATGACTCAGCATTAATACAATATAGAAAACAAACAAGTGATGTATAGACCAAACCCTAATCAAGCCGAATGGTTAGATGATGGTTATTACTAACATGCTAATTAGCTAATCTCAACCTACTCCCGAAAACATCAAGAAGGTCAAGATTTTGATTAGGGTAGGTTGAGAATTGAATATTTTTCATCAGAAAACCTCCTAATCTCATGCTGGACAAGCTTCTAACAAAAAGGATAACCTAAAAGAAAAAGGAAGTTACTGCTCAAAATATCTTGAAATAAATCTTTTTTATTCAAGCTTTTCGTCCTCCATCATGATAGGTAATACATCCTTCATTTCTACAACTTGACTTTACATGTTAGGAAATACAAACATAATTCAGTTTTTACAAATTACAATGTCTTTCTTTTTTTTCAATAAACTCTATTTGTATGTAGTTGCTTCTAAAACACCTATCCCAAAGTAACATCTCTTGTTCGCACACCTCATGGTTGAATTGCACTAATATGTTATGACAAAAGCACTGCTATTGCGAGGAAATCACTATGTGCTAACAGGGAAATACTTGCAAAAGCATTCCAATGTTGGAACCAACAAAGGAATCAGCCATTTAAAATGTGATCATATAAACAACTTATAATCATCTTCCAACTGAAAGCTCTTCTCTATCTTCAAATATTCCTGGAATCATCACATAATTTTCTAGAAACATCTTAAATAGAAAGCATGAAAAGAGCAGGCCCTCATTCGACCCACATTTGATCATCTGTGCTGTGTTACATCTATATATAGGCAGGTAAGCATGCACATGCAACTTAACCCAGCCTTAATGTGGAAAAAATCTACAGCAAGATGTTCAATCAACAATAAGAGAATTGGAATGGCACCACAAACATTATAAGGCCTAAAATCCGAATTCCAGAGCGGAAGCCTAATAAAAAAATCATAATAATTACAGAAATTATAACCTTTCATCATCATAAGAACAAGAAGAAGTAAACAGCCTTTACCGATAGAGGAATAAAAGCATCATACCCTGAAAAGAGTTCTCCAGACGCATGAACACACTTTACATAATCCGCATTCAGCCAAAAACGACTCATTGCTGGAAGTGACCTATCTCTGATGATGCTAAAGAATTCTGCATTAACATTCATTATGGCTCTTGTAGCTGCATAATATGCCTTCCACCCATTAACTGGTGTTACACTATCTTGCTCCAAAGTAAAATCCTAAAAATCAAAAGTTTAAGGCAGAAAATTTATGCATAGAGCCCACCAAGAAAGATATCAACAATCAACTCATAAGGAAAACATGGGAACACACACGGCTAAACAACAAGGTCATCGAAAAAAATTGCAATCACCCGCTTACATATAAGAATGGGCCCAAAGGTTGAAAAATGTGATCGCATATTTCATAAAGCCTATGAGTGATAAACAAATTCACACCACAAGGAAACAAAATAGAAGATACAACATTCATGTAAACTGCCGAAAGTCATGAATCTCTTCCTTTACAGGAGTGAGATAAGAAGACAAAAGCCCTTTTCCCACCATAAAGTCAACACCCTCATTTTCGACCATTATAACAGTTGGTCAAGTGACAAAACTTACAGTGAAAATTAAACAAAAAAAAAATCCATGAAGGAAAGTGGTAGCAAACATCAAAACAGGTACATCTCTTCGTTCAAGATAAACAAACCATGGCCTGATTCTGTGTGTTTAGGTTCTATGCTCTCGATAAACTAGAAACTAAAAATAAATGAAAGAAAGGATTCCTTCAGTTTTCACACTTTCATTGGAAACGCCATAAAACAAATACAGCCAAAGGAAGTCCAGGAGATGATTTTTCGTCTTTGAAAAAAAAAGTTGGACTTTTCCGAGAGTAATTTTATCTTGATAATTAGTTTCTTGAACAATTTTACTACTTACTTAAGTGCATTTCCCTTGATCGCAAACTCTACAAAAATTAAACATAGAATCCGCGGAAACCAAAATTTCAAGCAAAACAGCAATATATATATCAAAGGCAACAAAAATTGGAAAATTGAGTACCTTGTGATAAAGCGCTTTCCATGCATTATCATCATTGGCAGCCTTTCTCATCAGCGAATTAGTCATAGAAAGCCTGCAAAGGCTCGGATAATCCAAGTAACTGAGCGCGTGCGTCGTAATCTCCGGCACCAACTGCTCCATCATCGACGCCCCGCTCTGTCTCTCCGCCGCTACCTTGGAAACATCCGCCGTCACCATACCCTCCTGCGCCGGACCAGCACTACCGCCGTTCAGGAACGCCCCGGAATGGGAAGTTCCGTTGCAGGAGCAAGAACAGTTGCAGGGGGACGAGGATGTGGCTTCTTCAGGCTCCTTTTTACCGGTCGACGTGGCGGGACCGAGGGCGTTGGATTTGTGGGGCCTCTTGAAGAATGATCGGACGGCGAGGAGGGAAAGGAGAGTGATGATTGTGGCTATGATCAACTGCTGATGGGATTGGAGAGCGATGGAGAGGCAATAGGCAATCTCCATTCATAAGACATTAAAGCTTCGCAGTACATGAAATAAAACCCTAGAAATCTCCACTGGTTCCGAAAAGGAAAATCAAATAGGATGGAGAAAATTCTTTTTGGTTTTTCCTTAATTCGGAGATTTTACTTATAGTTTTTCCCCTTTTTTTTGATTTTTTTTTTAAAAAAAAAGGAATAAAAGTTATGCCAAAATTCAATTTTGTCGCAGAAGAGAGGGCGAAGAGTCGTACCCGAGTCGGAGGAGAAACTCAAACCAGAAAATAAATCATGATAGAGGGATACTTTTGTAATTCCACTAGAATTTTCATACACGGCGTCGTATCGCCGCATCTTTCCGTTGCAACTACTTATTGCTCCTTTTCAAACGTTTATTTGGTAAATACTAATATATTTATTTAGACATTATAAATTTATAAGATAAAAAAAAAAGGGGGTTAGCATTTAATATATTTAATTAAAAACCTTCTTTCATGTTCGAGTTCCATACTTTTTTTCACTTCAGATTTAATATCAGATGATTATTTTATTAATGATTACCATTTTTATTTTGCAGTTAAATGGCTAAAATTGAGATATGAAAGATTGAAGTATGGACCATATGGTTCACTTTCCTTTAGTGCAGTTAGGTCTAGACCTATAGTATTCATATTCCCTCTCCTTGTGGGGCACATTGCTCTATGTTATCTACTCTTTTTCATTCTTCCTCCTTTCCAATTCATTTAGGGGCAAATAAGAACCTGATCAAAACCAAAGTTTTTCCACAAATGGGTGCCAATCCTAAGATTTTCCAGGCAATCATTTTCCATTTTCCATCTCAAACGTTCAACTCTGGAAAATAATCTGTCTATTCAATATGACATTGCTGGTTTCAAGATGAACTTATGAACAAGAAGTCATTAGCAGAGACAAAAAAACAGAGCCAGATTCTCTCACATAGCTATACTTACAGTGAGGTTTAAACTAAATGCTAGTTAAAGAAGAAACAAAAAAGAACCTGATTTTCTACACCCTAGAGAAAAAGAAGGGGGTGGGGGGCTAGCTAGAGAGCAAGGTAATGAATATTGTCATACTGCTGCTTACAAGAATTAAAACCCAACCTCTGCTCGTCCGGCATACCTTATCGGGCTGATTGGCTCCTAAAATTGTTGCAACTCTGGTTGAAACTAACTTGAGAATAGCAATGCAAGCAAAGAAAAGACTTACAGCTAATACAGCAAGTTCTTTACTCTCCAAACTTGCTTGATCACGTACAATCTTTTCAACATCTAATCTGTTGAGGTGGGGAGAAAAAGCAAAAGGAAAGGGAAGAATGTCAGAAAAGAAAGTGGCATGCAAAATTTATATAGAAAGGGGCCTGAAATACCTATTTGCACCCAAATGCCAGAATCTATTCTAAAGAATGCAAATGCAAAACAGGGAATTTCTCAGCTCTTGAATGTAAATGAACCTACATTTGTACGAAATGAAGCCTTCATGCATTTCAAACTTTGAATTAATATCAGCATATATGAATAACTGAATCAGGTTAGCATTTCTTTGAAAAGAACCAAAAATTTAGTACATATATTTGGCAGTGACATTCACTTCTAGCCTCCTATACATGTTAATATAGATAAAATTCATAATGCAAAATTTTAACAAAAGCAGAATGACTGAACATAATCTACAGCTGGAGGCTGAAGTAGTCAGATTAAGGCTTCGTTCAAGTGAGATTTAGCTGAGTTGTCCATCATGGCAACCTTACATTAGTGGTATATTACTTTTTGCAGTCTGAGCTAAAAGGTAAAAACTTATAATCACATATGGCACATGGGACTCAACATATCCATCATGTTAGTTACTCTGATTATAAGCGGAAGCAACAGATCAAATAAATAGGAAATATCTAATCTTATGTTGAAAGTTCCAAAAAGACTAAAGAAAGATACAAGATAAACCAAGGATAACTTTAATAAATAACAAATGGAAAAAGTTGTGGGAAACTACTGAAAATAAAATGAAAAGGCACACAAAAACTTTGATTGTTACGAAAGATATTTCTAACCTTAACATGCGGTTTTCTCTGAACAATGTATCTACACTAGAAGAGACAGCTGCTTTCCATAATTCGAGCTCCGCAAATCCTCTTTCCTGTATGGGTGAAAAAGATGTCAAATACTCAAGTGGTTATGTAGCTCTTTTCTCCATTAAAAAGATGATGCTGGTGATGATGATAATAAAGAAGAAGAAGAAAGAAATTAAACAGAATGGTACAGTACCGTCATCTCTTTCCAATGCTTAATTTCTTTTATTTCTGTTCTGCTTTTCTCCAAAAGCAGAGAAAATCTTGATAACTCCTTATTGATCTCTGGTAAAACATCTCCTTCTCTTCGGTTCAATTCTTTGATATACTCTTCTAAAACAGATAAATTCAAATCAAGAGACCTAACCTTCTGCATCAAGATCTTCAGAACAGTGTCACCGGGTATTCGGCCAACCGGAAGCTGTTTAATGTCAGTTAAAGGATCAGGAACCCTGCTAGTTGTCACAGGATTCTTTGTCACAGTTTCATTGAGCTTTTGCACATCCTCAGCATTTTCTATGCCTAACAGAGCAGTCTGGGCCCCATTTTGAGCCTCATCATTTTTTTTGCCATCAAAGGAACGGACATCTGGTTTTGCGGAAGGCCCTGTTGAATTAGAGTCTGCCAATTTTGTGAGAACATGTTGATCAGATGGCTCAAACAGATCTTCAAGCATCCGCTCAATTGCATCAACACCATACACCTCCACAGCACTCAGTGTGCAGTAAAACTCTGATCCATAATGACTGAGTAGATTCAGTTTCAAATACCTCAGCCATTTTGGTTCTGACAGCTTAAAGGTTTGAATTTGCTTTACATTAGCAGCAACAAACTTCCCTAATGGGGACCATATTTCAGTGGGATAATTCAAACTACCAGACAACTTGAATTCCTTGAAGTTTGAAGAATAGTGTTCAAAATTAGCAATTTTGACTGCATCAACCAAAGTCTCATCTGCCAGCTCAATCACAACAAACTTTCCTTCTGCAGAACAAGGATTTCTTAGATACTTATCATGATCCTTTCCCAATATGTTGTTCGCTCCTTTTGCTTCCTTGTTATGCGCAACCACTTTTGCGCCTTTCATTGCAGAGGCATAATTGTACTCTGAACCATCAGTTTCAAGACGATGAGTGATATTAATTAGTTTGCCTGGAGGATCCTCACTTCTTGCTTGCCTTGTTATGTTCCGGAACTCATCAAGATTGAGATAAGCGGAAGGACTTTTAGCATTAGGTTGTTCCATTTTTTTACTTCTATTCTGGCCCTGTTGTTCATGTACATCACAGAGGAAAGACATGTGACCCAAATCTCTTAGAATCACTTCTTCAAGCCTATTTGTTTCGCGGAGGGAATACTCATACTTCACAAACTGCTCATAAGCAGCGGACCTGTTGTAGTGCACTGACTTATTAAGCTCTAGCAGCATTCCATCTGAACAATTATCACCTCTATTTGCAACACCTGAATATGCATCATCACAAAGCTTATCATTGCAAACAATAGAAGAAGACGAGATTTGGTTCTCAGGATGTGGATTTCCTGAAGGAGATACACTTAAGTCAATGCATCATTAACCAACTAAAGAGTAATACTCAAGTAGATAATGCTCTTTTCATTGTTTATTCTGGACACAAGATTTCTATTTCAAGGAAAAAAAAAAAAGAGGATGCAAATAACCCGTATGCTAGCTCACTAAAGAGAAAGCTAAACATTGCAGAAGCATAAATTAGCGGTCCTAAGAATATATGAAAATATTATGGGGTGTTATATAAAAATATGCATAAAGTTATGCTATGGGAATAAAAAATTTCACAATCTTTGGGGCCCAAGAATCTAACTTAGCTCCATTCTGTCCCAATATGCCACCGGTAAAAGGGATTCAGCAAAAATACACATTGCAAGCTACAATTTTAAACTTTTTTTGATGCTTCTATGTAACAGGAGAAATGTCTTTCTAGTTCCAATTAATGCTTTCTTTTTTGGATAAATGTCCTAATCCTGTACAATTACTTGGCTAAATAACAAAACCAAATCTTGAATATTAATCTAAGGACGAAGGGTTCGCTGGAAATAAACCATAAAAAAATGGGGTAGGAAAGGGGGGAAAAAGAAAAGAAAGAAAAGAAATGTTTTACCTCCGTTTTCATGGCTGAGACCAAGTCTAGAGTAGAACAAGAAAACAAGGCACCAAAGAGAGATGATAACAGACAAGGAAACTTCATAGAAACTCCTTCCATTATTGGAGGAGATGTTGCTGCTGTCTTTGTTGTCTCCGTTGGTCTTGGTTTCCTCGCCTCTGCTGTTGTTGCAGTTGCTTCGACATGTCACGTACACGATGGAAGGCCCATTCCGAGGTTTCTTCATGTCTCATCCGTACAAGGAAAGGGTTGTCTCTGAGAGAGAGAGAAACAAAGAATTTTCCTTTTGTTTTTCCTCAAAATCTGGAGAAACAGTTGGCTTTTGGCTTCTTGTGGGGAGAGACGAGAGAGAGAGAGAGAGAGAGTGAAATAAAGAGGAGCAAAAGTAGAAAACGAGAGCTTTAAAGAAGGCGTTCCTTTTCTGTTTGTGGGTTATTCCGGTCCATGAATCCAAGTCTTGCGGATACTATTTTTATACCATCTAAACCCCGCTTACCATGCATTATTAATTAAATTTTTATAAATTTAATTTTACGTAAAATAATAAAGAAATAAATAAAATAAAATAAAATAATATTTATCTCTTCAAATTATCATTTCCATAAATAATGGATAATTGCCGTTGTTAAAGATATGCAGTGTACAAGATGGCTTATCTGTATTCAAAATTGAAATAACCAGCAAATATACACCCAAAAAATTACAATTGCACGAATGGCTATGCTTTCCGTGCAAAAAGCTTTGTTGTAGCCTGTGTTACAAGCCGCCAGCCTGCGATAGCAAAGAAACAGGACTATGGAAACAGAGAAGCCTATGTGGACGTCGACAATGCATTGTCCACCATGATCAAAGTGTTTCTGATGTTGATTGACTAAGTAGCACACGGTCTAAGTCACGTTCTTGTTCCTGTTTGATGGAAGGAAGACTGCCTGGGTTTGCCTCTCCCAAAAGAAGACCCAATGGTGTTTGAGGTGGATACTTATTTAAAATGAAGTCGATTTCCTCCCCACTGATCTCCTTTTGATTGAGAAGCACCTGCAAAAACAGAGCGCCATCTGTTTTTGGTCACAGTTGCACAGAAAAACCTGAGCTAAAAAGATGGAACAAAATGGAAGTTTTCCTTTTCATGGGGCTAAAGGGAAGAGGTACACTCGTTTCTTAATGATAATGAAGTCTCAATGTACAAAACTTTTTTGACTTGGGATACTAGCTCATTCATTTCAATTAAACATAATATGAGTAGCAGATGAGACTGCAAATCAGATTACCTTCACTGCTTTGAGCAAAGCTGCATGGTGCCTCCTAAGAAGAGAAACTGTCCTTCCATACATATCACGTAGTAGTTCCTCACTCCTCTGTGCAATTTCATCATCCAAATTGAAGTTGACAGGGGGCTCAATCAGGTCATAGTCATCGTAAAGAGATCCTTCAAAGTCTAGACGTGGACCCACAAATTTAACTTTTTTCCTCCATGGTGGTGGTTCTCCATGTATGACCATTGGATTCTCCAAGTTCCATCTGATGGAAGATACATAAAAGACCTGATATTAACCCCATTTCCCACAAGGGAGAAAGATTAAAAGCATGGGCCAGTTTTTACAGCAACTAACATTGTTAAAATTTTGCGAGCTAGCCAAGATGCATCTGCAAGGTAGTTAAGTGATGCCCTTGAGGTGTCCCGCCCATAAATGACCTCTTCTGCAGCTCTCCCTCCAAGAAAAACCTTCACATAAACAGCAACACATTAAGAATGTTGGTGAAATTCAGACGAGAGCCAATATAATCAAACTACCAACTTGAAATCCACACCTGAAGGCGATGCAACAGCTGTGGTCGGCGCTCAAACATGTATGATTCATCATCAAGCCGATGAAACACAACTTGTGATAGTGTCTGCACAAATTACTTGACGCAGTTTACTGTCAATAATCACTTGAAACATCGCCACACATTTGGCAATGGAAGTCCCTTTAATGATGTCCTTTTCTTTTGGGCAACTTTAGGTGAGTTTATAAGCATGCATGATGGCCAAGCATCTAAAATAACTTTCTCAAAGAACAGAAGTGTAAAAGAAAGAAGATGGTAGAAATAAGGAAACAAGTAGCACCTGACCACGAGGAACAATTGAGATGCGATCACAACATTCAACTTCTGCATTTTCATATCGCCTAAGCAGATGAGAAGTCATTGCAACGCCTAATTCAGTTGTTGCTCTACGACACTGTCCCTGATGACCCAACTCAATACCAACACGCTTAGGTCCCACAGTTAGTCGATCTACTGCATCATCCATATCTGATTGAAGAATTGAGTCATGCCTTTTCCTGACAGCCACAAGAGCAGCCTCTTGGACTAATTGAGCCAACTTTGCCCCAGTCCATCCTATTAACAAAATACATTACTTCAGTTATCAAAACAGAAAATCAACCAGTCAAAGCAATCTTGTTTCCATCCATCCTATTAAGAGAAATACATGACTTCAGTTATCAAGATAGAAAACTAAGAAAAATCCTTAAGTTGAATGCATACCAGGCAAGTTATTTGCATAGGAGGACAAATCAACAGATTCTGACATCTTCACTTTGCTTGCATGAACTTTCAGAATTTGCAATCGGCCCTTAGCATTTGGAGGACGAATTCTTATCTACAGAAACTCAACACAGGCAAAAATTTGAACAATTGGTGCATATTTTGCTGAGCCAACAAATTCAGAAAATAAAGCAACAAAAGAATCTTCCCGGTAAACTTCAAGTATAATGTATCCAACCAACAAAAGAGTGCATAGCAGAGATGCAAAGGAGAGGAGAAACATATGATTATAAGGGAGGATACCACACATTGAAAAACACATACTTGAGCAACAAAAGTCACACTACAAGAAGGCCTTAATAACAGATGCAAGAAATGCTTAGGGTTTTCCTTCATTTTCTTTCTCTATCGGACTCAGATGTCTTAACTAATTACATTTTCTAATCCAGTGATGGAAGTAAACCTTACGATCAAAACGACCAGGTCGAAGAAGAGCAGGATCTAGCAAATCCCTACGATTTGTAGCAGCTAAAAAGATAACACCTTTCCCAGTATCAAACCCATCAAGCTCTATTAGTAGCTGATTCAATGTAGTTTCCCTCTCCTGAGTGGCTGCATTATACAGGTGGTCGGTTGATTCCTTGAAAATCCCTTGACGCCTGATCAGATAGAAAGAAACATAAAATGACTCAAAATTATTCATATATGTTCTACAAGAAAGATATTCATGTCCATCAACTTTGTCTATGGTCAATTGGTTATCTACCTACTCATAATTGCTTATTGATCCTGAAAAAGACACCAAGTCTGGCATATTCTCAGTGTCTTATAAAATACATACAAGCAAACCCATGATATTTCCAATTCCAACCACTTGATTCCAACTAATATTTGCAAAGCTTATATTTCATTTGCCTTCACAGAGTACACAAACCACAAATGTTAACTGTCTATCTGTAGCTAAATTATTAATGGACAGGTATTTGACCAACTAAACAACTTTAATAAGTACTAAAACACAAAGTCAGTAAGACCAGTTCTAAAGATGTCAAATTTTAGGACCTGATGGGAGCCTTAAGCAATTCTAAGGAGATGTCGGCAAATGGTGTGATGTCAAGAAGTTCTGTTCACATAAAGAGGGAGTCACAATAAGAATACATACCTAGTTGCTAAAGCATCAATTTCATCAATGAATATAACTGATGGTTTGTTTACCTGCAAAGAAAAATGATGAATTTCTCAACAAATGACACAAAGCAAATAACGCCACCACACATGTGTAAATGAAAGGAATTCTGCACTTATAAAGCAAAAATGCAGTACTAATATGGTGAGCTTCTTTCGTTGGTGCCCCAAAAGTCTGCAAGATTTATCTGTTTTCTCAATTATTATAGAGATGTCCAACAATTTTCTTCAAGATAAAGTGTCAAAACCTGGAATCTAGGTTATGTGGACGCCACCATGACCAAAAGCTACTTGTTTCAATAGAAATCAAATAAACTTATAGAATTATCACCTTGGCTCTCTTAAATAGATCCCTGATACGAGCAGAACCAACACCAACTAAAACTTCTACAAATTCTGAGCCCGCCATTTGGTAGAACGGAACACCTGCTTCACCAGCTATAGCCTTGGCAACTAAGGTCTGGAAAAGTATGAGATACTTCAGACAGGAAAGGAATATGTGCAGGCAAAATTTGCAAAGCTCTCAATGAAAAACCAACCTTGCCACATCCTGGGGGACCCTCTAGAAGAACCCCATGAGGAGGTTTAATTCCCATCTTATCAAATAGATCTGGATTCTTCAAATATCTCACCAACTAATCAAAGAAGTAAGAAATTAACAAGGCACAAATAATTATAACAGCAGACTCTCATCCAAAAATATAGATAAATATATAAATACATATATATAACATAGATAGTGAGAAATGGCCAAAAAATAGAAGCAAATTTGCACAACTCAAACAGGAAAGCAAGTATAAGCAATTCAATTTTCAAAATGGAAGAAAAGATACCTCTTGAAGTTCCTCAACTGCTTCATCTATGCCTGCCACATCACTAAACTTAACTCCAGTTGAACCCTGAAAGAATAGACTTTCAAAATAGCTTTAGAACTGCAATACAAAATCTGGAAATATAAAGTTAAATGAGTAATATATAGAAACTAACATCAACACGAGCTTCTGCTTTAGATCGAGAAAAATCAATGCCTTGCCATAGATCCTGCCATTTTATAAACAGTATTATTTCAAAAGTCTTTGCAATAAATAAACCATGTTCAACGATAAAATTTGCAGAGTCAAGCAATGTTTACCCATTTCCTGAAGTTCTTAGGTCTTCTTGAAAGTGTGAAACGGACAAGAAGAACCATGGTTAAAAGGACAACTGTGATTGGCTTTAGCATCTCAAGGCTAGCAGAAACACCACCAAAAGTGTAAAATTCATAAAACTTCGAGAAAATCCCCCCATCACTGAACACATCAACAAGATTATCCCAAACCCTCTCTACTATACTGATGATGACACCTAGAAAAAGTTTAACAAATGGTTTCGCTATGGGCCATACAACATATACACATGTTACAAAGACAAAACTGGTGACAGCAAATACAGCGGCTGCTAGGAACCCTCCAACAATGACTGCTGCTGCAGCCATTACAGCAGTCACCATTCCAAGCTCTACCATCATTCTGCTGGATATAGAAGATGCCACTGGATGAGGATACTCTGGTACTTTTCCCACCCAAGACTGCATCACAAGTTTAAGTGGAAAAGGAGATTAACAAAGGGACCAAAAAGATACAGATCACCCAAACCCAAGTACCAAACATGCTTCAATGTCTATGTCATGCACAATGATCTGCATTATGCAAACTGTTTTTCTACAAAATA